CCCCTGCGGGCTTTTCCCCATTCAGCCCGCCTGGCACCAGCTGCCCCTTGCTGCTGGCCATGTCGCCGGCCACTTCCAAAAGGTTGGCGTCCTGGATCACAAACTGCTGCACGGGCCCAGCGCCGGCCTTCCCCGGGGGCTACGAGGCAAAGAAGAGTCCGTCAGCACTTTTGCCGGTCGCAAAGGGGGCAAAGCGCGGGGGGCGGGTGGGACACAGCAACAAGGGAGCCCGTGCAGATGAGGCGGCACGCGGCAGGGCAGAGCCGGACTGGCCCTCCTTGCCCACCCGACCTGGATGTCCCTCAGCGAGGCCCCCTTCCCTCTCCAGGGGAGACCCAGACCGCAGAGCAGAGCCCTCCGCAGCCATCACTCCTCGCTTCACCCCAACAGGCCCTCGCCTTCCTTGGTACTCACATCTTCCTGGGAATTTAGGGTGACGGTCTCTGTCAGCGTCACTTCTTTTGATGCCTTTTTGGTCTTCTGCACAAGCTGCTTGATGAAACCCCCAGGAATGACCGAGAAAGGCAACGGTGGGGATGTTGGCGGGGGGCTTCGGTCCTCTGCCCTAATCTGTTCACACCAAGTTGTTCAGTTACTCAAAGGAAATGGAAGAAGTCCGTCTCTTGGGAGCAGATCTCCAACCGCCCTGCCTCAGGGAGCAGAAGACCCCCTCCCCAACCAACAGAAGCCCCCCACAGGACAAGGAGGATGCCTCAGAGACCCAGCCGAAGCCCCAGATGCGCTGCATGGGTGGGGTCTGCACATGCTCCAGAAGGACAAAGGTTTTAGCTGAACCAAATATGCTTGCAGAACAGCACTGCTCCCTGTGTTCATACACACACACACACACACCCCTTTGTCCCACACAAACAGAATTTGCAAGTTTTAAGGTACAGGAAACTGCCAACTTGTTTGGCCAGATGTGGAGTTTCAACGTCCTTCAACTCTGTAGGAAAAATTAGAATTAGTTGCTAGTCAAAAGCAGAGAAGCTGATGAAAAGAAGCCAACGATGTAGAGAAGAAATTAAGCCGTTAATAGGAAGGAAGGCAGCTCAGTGGCCACAGCAGGCCCCTGCCATCTTTTACGTAGGCCTGCAAGGGTGGTGGGAGTCTTCTGAGGGCACCGGCACGCCCCCCCCCCCCCCCGCCCGCCCCAAGCTCATGCCGCTCTCCAGCCGACTCATGCAGCACCGCGTCTGCCCGGAGTGCCACTTCCCTTTTGCTCCCACAGAGCAAGTCGTGATGAGATGGCCATGCTGATGTGGGGACGGGCAGCTCAGAGGGGGGGTGAGCTTCACAGATGGAGACAAGGCGGGAGGATGGCTGATGGAGACGCGGAACAGCAGCCTGCATCCGGATGGCACACGCACACGGCACCCGGGGCCAGAAGAAGAGGAGAAACTGGTCAGGCTCAATCTCACTCCTTCACTCCGTTCAGGGACCCGGGCAGGGCAGGGCAGGGCAGGGCAGGGCAGCCTAGATTGTGCCTTCTGCTTCCCCAGACCCACTGAAGGAGAGACAGCCTCCCTTATTCTCCCGCTAACGCTGGTAGGCTTCCTTCTCACGGGCACAGCCTTCCCCAACCCTTCCCGCTGCAAGTGAGGAGGCCGAGGAAGAAAGACACAACGCTTCCCCTTTCCCCCGATCTGAGCCCTCCCAGGGGTCTTCAACCTGAGCAACCTCGAAGGGACCTTCACCGGCCAGGCAAGCCCATCTACTAGCCACTCCTTCTGCCCCTCGGCCCCCCCCCAATATTCTGAGGGCTTCTGAGCTTGGACTCCATGCCAGGGCGCACAGCCCTCCTCTCCCAGCGCCAGGCGTCTAGGACATGGTTCCCTGGACAGCAAGGGGGACAACAGGTGACCTTTCTCTGCTGACATTTTGGAAATCTAGCCTTCGCAGCTTCTCGCAGCCACCTGGCACCAGCACCACTCAAATACCTCCGCATTAAAGTCACCCTCCTGTACACAGGCCCAGGAGGAGAAGCCAAGCTGATGGACCCCAGAGTTGCTCCTCCTCTTGGGCAATTTAGAGGGGGAGGGGGGCACAAAAGCTCCTCAGCTCCACCTTCTTCTAAAGAAAGAAGTGCCTGCAGGACACAATAAGGAGGATCCACTAAAAGTCTGCAGGTGTTGGTCTGACATGTGCCATATCCTGCGAGCTGGGGGCCTGCAACTCCTCGGCCAGAGAGAAAGACACCTCGAATGCTTTCCACCCGTCCTTAAACGGCCATCAGGACGACCCAATTCCAAAACAAGCCTGATTTTATCAAGAGCCCCTGGAAACAGGAGGCTCGCAGGGACGTCTCCTCAACCGCTGGCTCTTCTCTCTTGCTCTCCGAACAGGCCCGCCACGCCCCCCTGACTGGCACAGGCTTCCCCAAACCAGGAATGACTGCCGGCCTTCAGGACCTGCTGCAGAGATTTCCAAAGAGTCAGCTCCGGTGCTGGCCATTCCCCTTTTAAAGGACTGAAATCAGGCAGATTTTTATGTAAAGGCACCAAGAAGCCTCCGAAGAATGTGCATTTTGCTTTACTGAAAGTAAAAGGAAAAAAGGCTACTGCTGGCCGGAGACTGTGTAACCTAAAGCTGGAAAGAGGGTAGCTGTGAAGAGCTGACAGTGGTATAACTGAGGGTTTGCTTTCCGTCAGGAAAAGGGAACATTTCAAAGACCCTTGCAAAACAGGCCAGCGTAGAATTAAACGTCCACGTTGCACTCCTCCTTCTCCCCAAGCGGACTCTGTGCCAACGGTTTTCAGGGGTAGGCAGGAGTCTTGCCAGGAGGAGCACCAGTGCAACGGGCCCATCGGGCATCATTCCAGGCTCCCAGAATCTGGTGGGCCTCTAAATAAGGGGCATTATTATTATTATTGTTATTCAGAATAAAGGAAGCTTTTTAATGGCAATACAACCCACCCATCCCGGCCGTGAATTATTAGAAAATAAAGAGGAGACCAGCTTCTCCCAAGATCTCTGTACCAAATGTGCATTAAGGCAGTTGGGAAGTGCTAAAATGTACATTTTGACAACTGTTTCTCTCCCCCCCATAACCACGGAGACATTTCTCACTGCCAGCCGCCTCGGTTCCTTGACCACACGCGGAGCTCTTTAAAATTCCAGTTCACGCACATCCATACAAAATGGTAAAAGCAGCAGCCGTCAGGACGCGCAAGAATAAACGCCCGAACAAGGAGTCCCGCTGCCGCCTGGGCACTGCCTGCCTCGCCCCTTGGCCCACGGGCTGCCCCTTCCAGCACACCTCTCTGGGCAGGATCGGCCCTGAAATCGGAGCGTCGCTGCTAGCAGCCCGGTGGATTTCACCTAGAGCGAGAGGTGGGAATTCTTCAGGAAACCCGATCATCGTTCCCAGCAGAGAAGCTGGCAGCCGCTGCCCCGGAGACTGGGGCCAGCGGGCCGGACTTTTCTGCAGAGGGGCTGGTCGTGCGGAGCTCGGGTCGGCCCCCTCTCTGGCGGGTGGGCGGCTGACGCTTCCTTCGCCCGCGCCGACTTCGCAGCAGAAACCCCAGCCTCCAGCACCAGCAAACGGACCAGCCAGAAACCACGGGTGGGAGGCCGCTGCTGCGCCGTCCTGGCCAGGCTCTCCCAGTCCAGCAAGGACTCGGCCTTGTGCGTGGCCACTGCTGTGATCTCAGGCCCAGCCACCTTCCTCTGAACCACTCAACCTGCGCCACACCCGTCCAGAGCCCCCGCAGTCAAAATCCGCTCTCTACTTGCAAACGCCGGACCTTGCACCAGGGCGCTCCCCAGCTCCCCACTCAGCTGTTTCCTGAACTGGCGCTCGTGTTGGCTTCTTCGGCCTCCTGGACTAAGCTACGATTGGGTTACCCAATCCCGGTTACGTACCAAGGGCTGAGCTCACAAAACGTCCTGAGCGGAAACCAGGCGACCCGTTACGGCTCCGTGCAATGCACGAATCTGTCACACACAGATTGTGTTTGTACACTAGGCCTTACGTGGTTTCTGAATTAACCTGCTTTCTGTCTTTGCCGAGCCCACGGTGTCAGAAATTCACCGCAAAAAGTATTCAGCAATTT